GGAAAAAAAAGCAAGGCTTCTTATAATATTTCAAAAGATTGCCGCAATTTTGAAGCTAAGCAATACAGTATTATTTGATAATTACATTGATTCATTTCATTATTGCAAAGATAACAAACTTCAAATTGATTCCATTGACGGGCATTAATTACAGTTAACCAAGTAATGGTTAAAAGTTGGGAAAATGATTGGATCATTTGATGGATGAATACTTCCTTAAAAGAATATATCCTAATATATGGTAGAGTTAATCATTTTTTTAAATTAATTACAAACGCTGAAAGTATGATACGAATTGTAATTGATGTAAATTAATTCGAAGAAATTAATCACTTTATCTTATTGGATAACAAGGAGTGCTTGATTTAAATATCATGTATGCAAGGAATTTGAGGGTTCATTTTCTTAATTTTACGATCTTTCAGGTTCCCTAATTCGTTTACGATCATTAGTGATTATGAATTAGGATTGCTAATATTTTGATAGGATAAGAAAATTCTATTGACTCGTAATAAGTGCTAAATTTAAATAAGTGCTAATTTTGTTTTTGTTTTTATTCTTTTTGATTAACAGATTCAAATCAATGAGATAATGTTAAAGCACATATGAATACAATGAATTAATCCTGAAATATTTTTGAAACTATAAATTAGAAGAAATAATTTTAATGATGTAAAGGGATGCTTAAGGAAATATTCTGAAACGAATAAATTTCATTTTAATTTTCTTGCTTTTAAAGCTTTTATTACGATGAATTTTAAAACATTTTAAAAATAACACTGTGTAAATTGTTTAAACAGATTAAACAAACGAACAGATTGAATGTTATCCTTTGTTTCTCTTATTTAGAACATCATTTGACAAATATTTTCATACAAACTATTTTGATCGATAAGTATGGTTGACTATTTGAAAGATTATAAAAAAAAAATATATATATATATATTTCGATTATATTGATAAAAAAATCAAATAATTTCAGTTATGACAAAAAAAAAGAAAAAGGAAAAATTATTTTAATTTCACATCAACCATATCGATTTGATTGTCTAGTGTTAAATGTTAAATTTAAATTTGGTAATGAAATATTTATTCGAATGAATTTCATATTTATTAATTTATTCATATTCATTTTCAAATGCTTAAATTTTATTCTCAAAAATTTAAATTCATACTACTTTTTTGGCAGTTTATGTATTCTAATTTCATTTTCAAATACTTAAATTTTATTCTCAAAAATTTAAATTCATACTATTTTTTGATGGTTCATGTATTCTAATTTCATTTTCAAATGCTTAAATTTTATTCTCTTTAAATTCATACTATTTTTTGATAGTTTATGTATTCTAATTTTTATTTAACAAAATAATAAATTTTCAAATTAGATTGATCAATTATTGTTATATTAGATCTTTGATGCATGGAAACAGTAAATAGGCATTTTCCTTTGATTGTTCATTTTGTTGAAAAGTACAACTTTTTTTCTTTATTTGATTTATCCATGTATATAGCTATTCTTCTTTTTTTAAAAATTATTTTATGCTATAATTAGATAAATGATTGTGAAATATTTTGATTATTGGATGAACATAAAATTTTAAAAAAGTAAAAAAAAAGCTAAACTAAACTAGCAATGGCATAAAATTATATTATCAAATAATAATTCCTAATATCTAAAATAAATTTCAATTTTATTTTTCATTTATATTCTCATAAATTATCACTCCAAATAATTTGGCAATAAATTTTGCATGCTTGCACAACTTTCAATTTGCATTAATAGAGAGGAATGAGCGTTATATTCATGTATTTAAGAACAGTTCGTAATTACAGTACTATTCTGCTTATTTATAATCATCTTTACCGTACTCTCCCGTGAAATGTATGCTTTGTTGCTAACATTATTGAAGCATTTTTTGCAACCATTGAAAAATTTAATTGATACCTTAATTCATTAGAAGGAAAGTAATTTTTGTTTGGAATAGTAATGTATGACGAGATAAACCAACAAAAAGATCAAATGATAAGATTACAGTATCCATTCGATCGGTTATTTGAAATGTTTGTTGAAAATTTTTACGAACAATGAAATTTAAATATTAAAAAAATTTAGCGAAAAAATAAATTAGTTCTTTTAGCATTTTAATATTTGCTCTGATGAATGACAATATGCTAATAATTGATAATTAACAAAATTATTAACTTAAAAATAATAAAAATTTTAAATATAAATGTAAAATATTTTTCAAATGTGTAATCGTTTATGTTCTTTAATGCTTTTTTAGCAATGTTTTACTCCATTCAAAGCATTTTATTAGCATATTTTTGTCGTTGATTGTTTATAGTAAAACAAAAAATGACAAAAACTAATAGCAATTAATATTTGGCGAAAAATTTGAATTCAATTAATAGTTGCAATGTGTAAAACTATAACTAATTAGAAGTTACTGTTTCAGGTACAAAATTTTTTAAATAATAATTTGAAGGTATAATAAGAGAGTAATAGAAATATGTAATAATAGTATTATTAATATGATCAAAAGCAATCAATCTTTACTAATGTTATGCTTTGAGTAATTAATGCATTTATTTCAATCTTCAAGCTATTGAATATTTTCATAATGGAAATTAATATTTTTACTAATTTAAATGAAAAATTTATATTTATTATACAAATAGCAAATAAATATTGAAATATTATTTTTTATATCAGATTCAATCAAAATTAATTACAAAATTCTAAAACGAAAGAAAAAAAGGTATGGAATACTCGAAGGAAAAAAAAAAGAAATCATATATTCTTTGTATTGTAATGTTGAATGTATTTCGATTATTATTTAGCTGATCTTTTATGATAATTTCTGATTAATTACTGTAAATTCAATTTGATTACATGTGGAAGGAATAGATAAATTTGTCGCAAAATGTTAAATAAAATGTTAGGATATCAAAAAAATTTTACAATGATTTATTATTTGGTAACTATTTTATCCATTACAGTAGATTTAAAAGAATGTACATTTTATGACAGTAATTAATTATCTATCAGTTCATTTCTGATTACATAAAATGATTTACAATGCTTGTGATGCATACTGTGGCATTCACCAAAAAGTAATTTTTGTTTCATTTGTTTTATTCATTTTACTCGTAATACGATAATAACATTATTAATACTAATGCAATACATTGCAAGTGAAGAAATTCAACAGAAAGTTGTTGTTATACTGTACTGATATATTGATATTCTGAAGCAATCACTTGTAAAATGTTTCAATTTCACCTTTTTTTAATGTTAAACTTTCGAAAATCTTGTCAATTAATGATCTTTTGGTATAATATATTTATAAATAAAATTACCGATACCATGATATCAGGCCGCCATATTACCGTATACACCATTGATTTCTGTATTGCAATATTAAATTTATTATGATTAATGCCTAATCGATCTTTGCTGAAATGCATTATTTTATAATAATTTTTTTAAATTTATTTTGCAGCACTTTACTTCTGATTACTGTAAATTCATTTTGAGCACCATAAATCCACTTTGATTACTGTTAATTCACTTTAATAACCGGGAACTTTCGTTTCATTACAATGAATTCGTTTTAATTATTATAACTTCAATTTGATTACTGTTAACTTATCAACTTATCTTGTTTATTGTAATTTCACCTGAAGTACTATCAATTCAGTTTCACAACTGTTAATTCACATCCTTTACTTTCCTTTACTTTCACTAATATTATTTCATTCCGTTATCAATTTACTCAGATTACTGTAAATTTACTTTGATTACATATAAAAGTATTGGAATAATTAAAATTAGGAAGAAAATTGCCAGTAAAATCATTAAATCGAAATGTTTATTGTTAAAAATTGAATGCAAATTTTGCTGTCTAAATTATGCAAAGCAAACTTTAAATATTTCAAATTTCTACAATTTGTCATGAAATAATAATGAATGGTAGTAATCTTTAATCTAAAAATGAAACCTGCTCAAGCATTATTTATTGTTAAAAATTCAAAATCAATGGAATAATTTTTTTTTTTAAAATGGCATTCCAATGCAGGAAGTGATGTTAAAATATTGAAAAGTGCAAAATGCTGAAATATCTAAAAGTGCGTGGTATGATAGCATGAAATAAAATATAGCTAATATGAAATATAGCTAATAAAATATAGCTAATATAGCTAATATGTAATATGAAATTAAAAGGGCAAATGTGAAATTAGCCAATAAAAAATTAAAACATAGTAAAATAAAAGTTGATTATGCTAATAAATTCATTTTTAAAGTATTAGCAATAAATCATAATTTATATTTAATTAATCATAAAAATTACATGAGAAGAAATTCAAAAAAAAAGTTTTTAATGTTTTGCAAAGAAATAAATGAATGTATAAAAGGTAGTAGGAGTTTCATGTCATAGGAATTGATAATTATAACTTTGCTTAAGCTTTTCCTTTCATATTTTTTCAAATTTTAATCAATGCAATTTGTTATTTGCTCAAAAATTTTAATCAAAACTTTTGAGACACATTTTTTTGAAAAAGAAATTTTCAATAGTTTAAAAATATCAATCACTACCATTTGTTTTATATATTATATGAATTAACAATTAGCACACATTAATTACGATAGTCGAAATTTTAAATGCTCTCAGTGATTACCTTAAATTAAAATTCAAGAAATTTCGTACCACTTTAAAACAATAATTAATGCAAGCAATAAATTTTGATTATTTTTGCAAATCATTTTCTCATTTCTTTTTTTTTTTTGATCATCAAACAAATGATAAGCCAAAAGTCTATAAATGCAATTAATTGCAACATTAACATTCTCATTTTAATTAATTCAATTATAATTTATTATCATTTTCATATCATTTTATTAACTTATCAGATACATATATAGTTGAATCATATTTTTACTTCTTTCTTTTAAACAAAAATACTAATTAATTAATTGAAAAAATTTTTTAAAATTGATGTAAATGAATAAATGATAATATTACGATTAACAAAAAAAAAAAAAAGAAAATAGGATGGGAAAAAATTTTAAATATGATAGAAAAGGAAGAAAAAAGATGAAAAAGATGAAGGAGAAAAAAAAAAAAGAAATTTCTTCACAAACATTATTGAAGATTAATTGAATTGGAAAGGAAAGGATATATTACTGCAATTTATTTCAAATCATTTATTTTAATACGACAAGCATAGCAACTACAAATTATTATTCGGTTAATTTATCTATCATTTCTTCCTCATTTTTTTTTTTCATTTCCGCGTTTTACCAGATATTTTCATCAATTCCAAATTAATTAATTAATTATTGATGATAAAAAGGCGATGATATATATTGATTATTATTAATAAATAATAATGAAATATAAATTCGCGCAATTAATTATCATATCTTATCCATATATTATCCATTTTTTTATTGTATAACAAAATTAATTAGTTAATGATTTATAAGCAATGCAATGAATATTAAATGTCTATTTCTTTTCCAACATTATTTTACATCTATTAAATCACTTTTTTTACGTTTTAAATTTCTAATTTTCCTTTTCTTTTTTTT